GGAAAGGTCTTGCATTTTTATATATTTAAATGAAGTTTAGTAAAGTAAGTTGATTAGTTTTCAACTTCGTCATAGCAATAATTTGCCAATTAGAGTTTTCACAATAACAAAACGCCATGACTCTCTCGAGCTATATAACTGTGTTAACAATCTTCAAAATTATTATACTGACAAGAATCTGGGCCGGGGATATTTTTATTTAACAAACACGTTTTTGTTTTAGGTTTGTAAATATAGTCGACCTAGATGTCTAGATAATACGTTTATACCGCAGAAATACCTTCTATTCGGCAGCTGTTATGTACGATAATTCATGCAAAACTGATATGGATTTGTTTTGTTTTAATATCAATTTATCATTGAACAGGTTCAACACTTAACGAATGCAAACCATGCCAATGTTGTAACTATGGCGCAGGCAGTTTGCATATTATTCACAATATACAAGATTATTGTTATAACGGGTGTCGTGACGATATTTTCAGTCCTAAAATGTACACATTCTTGTAGAGACCATTGTCTAAAGTGTAAAGAACTATGGACGTGCGGACAAATGTCAGGATGGATATTACGGTGAATGGTGTCAAGAATGCCCAAACAGATGTGAGACGTGTTCCAATTGGAATAATTGTGATGTCTGTAAAGACGGATATTACAATGGAAAACAATACTTTAATAGTGTAGAAACTACCACTTGCCAATATGCATGTCCTGCTTCCTGCAAGACATGCTCATCATTCCATACTTGTCAGGAATGTAAAAGCGGCTTTATCATCAAATCAACCTTCAACTACAAAGAAAACATATGGTATAGAACGTGCGACCCTATATGCGACAGTGGTTGTAAAACATGTACGTCAAAGTATTTTTTGTACTGAATGCATCAATGGTTATTATCTGGCAAATGAGTATTGTCATAAATGTAACGGGAAAATTGTATTTCCTGCTCATCACAACAAAGATGTACTGCTTGTATTGACGGGGAAGTACAATCATTATTTTAATGATTGTAGATATTCTTGTAAACAAGAATGCAAATCTTTGTACTTCATATAACACTTGTGCAGCTTGTGTTCGAGGACGCTACGGGACATCATGCGAACACAACTGTAAGCCATGGTTGCTTAAATGGTGATTGTAATAAAAGTAACGGATATTGTCTCTGTAAAACTCGTTTCACAGGTGAAAAGTGTGACAAATGCAATGATTACAAATACGGTACAAATTGTGAAAAAAAATTGTCCAAGAGATTGTTTGGATCCTATGTGTGATAGCAATGGACACTGCTTCAAATGCAAACTGGCTTTCTTGGAAACAAATGTGAGAAATGCCAAGTGGGACTATATGGTCAAAATTGTGACATTAACTGTCCAATCGGATGTGCAAACAATAATTGTACCACTGAAGGTGTTTGCTATAGTTGTAAGTCTGGAAAATATGGAATAGACTGCACGGGATCCTGCTCAGTCGGTTGTGACTTTAATAGCTGCTTTGACAATGGTGACTGCCCTAAATGTAGGAAGTTGTTTACTGGAAGAAAATGTGATCAATGTATCGATGGAAAGTTTGGAGACAATTGCGGCCTAAACTGTTCGACAACCTGCTTAGCCTGTTATTCGTTGACAAATTGTTCAGCATGTGTGGAAAAGCACTGGGGAAATACCTGTCAGCAATGTCCCACAAACTGCTTAAATTGTTCCTCGAATAGCATTTGCTCATTATGTGTCAAAGGATTTCATGGACAAATATGTAATGAGCAATGCAATGTTAACTGCCTTGATGGTCACTGTAATCAACTGTATGGAAATTGCAGCGAAGGGTGTGTAGATGGTTTTTACGGAGAAGCTTGCGATCTGAAATGTAGCCCGTACTGTGCGAATTCTATTTGTGGCAGAGAAAACGGGAATTGCTTACATGGATGTAAGGCCGGACACAATGGGACAAAGTGCTCTCAGAGTACGTTTCCTAATCTTTGAATTTTTTCCTCTGGTATAATGTACATGTATCAGTACAAAACATTTTCTTATGTTATTACGCAAGCGGACCAGAGCACTTTTTTGATATCCTGGTGTGCGGCGTTCGTCCGCGTCGTATGTCTTCCGTCGTGAGCATTTTTACCATAACAGCATCTTTTTTCTAAATCGCTTAGCCGATACAATGTTATAATGAAATAATGCAGGATTGACCCTTACTTGATCCTTTTTGGTTTTGCTCAAACACTTTGCTAAAAACCTTAATACGACCAACCTCAACCAATATGGAGATTGTGTGATAAAACGTTAGAAAACTAATCATAAGAAAATCTTTTATTTTAAATTATTCATATCGATCCGGTCGATTGAGTAAGATGAGCTCCACAGCTAAATAAAGAAATAAAATTATAAGTAAACCTTCTTCTCAATCGATTTTTAGATTTTGACAAAATTTTAAAGAAATAATCTTGAAGTTTGCTAAAGCTGTTAAAGTTTGCTCACCCAACATTGCCACCCGACTACAATTAGAAAACTCCATTAACAATATTTCCTAATATCATCTTAATATTATTTTTTCAAATAATAAATATCTGAAATATGAATTATTCTGTTGACAATAATGTGCCCTTAAATGCAGCTTTTGTATTTTAGCTCTTGAATTGAAAGAAGAGGGCAATGGCGACATGAATGTTGTCATTGGAGCAACAGCTGGTGGTGTACTTATATTGATTGTGATTTTAGTCATTGTAATAACTATAATACTGATCAAAAGGTAAGAACGAGTTGTTTACACAAATTTTAAAATAATCAGACATATTTTAAGCTTTATGGCCCATGATACCTCAGGAATGTTTTTTATTTTTATTTCATAAAAGCTTTTTAGTTATGGTTTCCTTTTATACATTGTATTTTAAAAAAAAGTTTTTAATTGGAAAATCAATTGAACAATATTTTATTTCTATTACTTTTTAGCATTCAGTAAAGTTGTTTAGATTTATTACTTTGTATGAAAATCAATACTTTGTATTTATTTGGTTACTTATATTACACACAACTTTATATTCAGCAATTCTTTCTTAAAGTAATAAGCGTTAGGGTTAGAGTTCTAAAACCAACATCGCATGGTAATAACACTCATATCTGCCCTGTCGAAAGAAAGAAACAGCTTATTTGTTTCTGAGGCATAATGTGCCTTTGAAAACAAATACATTTTGACGCAATATAAATGGAAGAACTTATAAGATAGCTTTATTTAAAGTTATTTTTAATCAAAAAATATTAATTCACTAAATATATTTATTTTTATCTTAAAAACAAATCATTTAAATCATTAACTATTCTAAGAGGTTATGTTTAGATCTGTGAGTTTGTTAGGAATGAGATCTTGTATTCTAAGATCTTACAGTGACCTTGCATTACGCCCTAACTCTATAGTCAATGTAACTGTTACTTTAAATAGAAAAAGCTTCCAAAAGAAAACTAGTTTGGAATTAGATATTGTAATCGAGCATTGCATATAGCAAACTTATGAAAATACCTGGCCTGGGTGTCTTTTGGACTCCATATGTTTAAAGTAAATGTCACTGTTACTAAAAATAGAAAGAAATGGTTTCCAGATGATAACTAGATTTAGGATGAGATATTGTAATCAAACATAGAATTTAGCAAGCTTATGAAAAAATCGCGATTTGAATTATATTTATACCCACTTAAATCAATGTCAGCATTATTAAAAATAGAAAAGAAGGTTTTAAAAAGATAACCAAATGGTTTTAAAAATAAAACCAGGATTGGTTTAAATATTTTTATAAAAATTGGTATACATCAAGGATATGTGCAAACCTAACTACGGTTAAGGTCACCGTTACTCGTAAAACAAAAAATATAGTTTCCGGATGATAACTAGAGTCCCTTTCTAATTTTTTGAGCAAATTATCACAGTTAATGGAGCACGTACCATTAGATTCAACAACAATAATTTTAATCCACCTAAACAAAAATCATGTATATGTATCATGAAATTATATATTAGATTTATATTAAATATAAGTTATTCTACAGATTGATTCTGTTACAAAAAAAATAAGAACCAATTGTTATCAATCGTGAAAATGAAACAAATAACCTGTCAGTCAATTGTAAGTCGATTTACCAATTTTACCGAATGAATCTACATGCATATCTATAAACTGGTTGGTATGTTAAATGAAACTTACAATAAATTGTTATAAATTCATATGCAAATACCGACCATGTTCACCTTTTGTAAATTAAAAACTTGGCAAGTTTTAAGAAAATGGTCGTCCCGATTGTGTACCTTTGTTACATTAATATTTAATACAATTTTCTCATTTTTTATGTGTTACTATTTATAAAAGAGGACACGAATGAGTATTGTGATAAAGACTTAATTCACATTTAGCGAGATTGAACTCCAATGCGTAAGATAAGTTTTGGTCCTTTGTTACATACACGTTTCTATAGTCACATGATTTGTAAAGAGTTATTTTTAAATTTAAATGGATTTACATATGAATGCATTGTGGTCATGACTAACAGTAAATGTCATGATATTTTCAGGTCTGTTGTTTAGTTATGGTCCATTGAAAATACGGAAAAAAATATATGTTAATTCTCGGTTTAAAGGGACTCCACTGAGGTTTTTTGACATGACGGGACTGGAAATATTTTTTTAAGATTATTACTCCATTTGAAGTAGATCTATACATATAACTTATGTGCGAAATTTCAGATCATTAGCTTGCTCCGTTTTTCCAGAATAATTATTATAAAAGTGAAAAATGACCCAAAATTGAAAAGCGTTTAAACACTTTTCAATCAAATCGGAATGCGAATAGCACAAACATACGATTTTCAATGTTTTTCTTGTATATTTCTTAGTTATATTTAATTTGTATTTCTGTTTAAAGTGCTAATGTTCATTTTTGTGAAAAATTAAAATGTTATGTTTTTAGGCTTATAAACCTCAGTGGAGTTCCTTTAATGTGTCAATTTCTATAATGCACTCGTTCGTACATATTTATATTAAAATTGTAATCACCGGAAAAATAAAATAAAAAATGTCATCATATTATCTCAAAACGATTAAACGATTTTGCTTGATATTGTTTAATTTGTAAAGGTTTGTATGACGCAGCGTTTTTTTTTTCTTTCCTTAATTTTATTTTATATTAAAGTGGGATCATAATAATATCAGATAAGTTATATGCGGGAGCAATGTATCATGCTTGATAAATTCAGGCGTCGACGAGGGGACAAACAAGACAATAATAACAAAGGAACTAAAACAGAAGATGCAAATATGACATACAGTGAGATAAATGACATCCATATGACGGCTGAAAACAACCATACAGATGACATTGAAACAGAAAGAGAAAACATTAATTACAGTGAAATACAAGATGCTGTTTTGTCGACGAAAAGTCAAGAATCGGGTAATTGTCTTTCGCTCTATAGTTTGCAATATCGGTTCAGGTTTGATGTTTCATTCCTCCCTATTGATCTCCACTTTCTTATCCAGATTTGTGCATAGTCACTGTATAACAATCATCTTGTTTTAATTGCTGTATAATTAGTTGCCGGTGCACGCTGGGGTTTGGTGCGATAAAATAACGGTACGCAATTAAAGGAACGATATTTTTCATTATCACAACTGTTTCCTATGATACATAATAACTATGTCGTTGTTCAGTTCATTCACCTATTTCATAAACATATTTTAAAAACAAGTCTTCCATTTTAAATTTTTCGTGATATTAAGGAATGTCCCCGTTTCATTTTATCATAATAAACTATCGCCTTATGTTAGTTTTGCAACGCAACAATAATTATTATAGATAACGTATATGCCAAACCTATCAAACCTAAGAGAAAAACAGAAGGAGTAAAATCATTAAACAAAACTTCAACAGAAGTAACAGTTAATAATCCTACCTACGAGAAACCAGACACCAGTCAAACAGAAACGGTCAAGACGAACAAAATCAAGAAACCTCCCATTGCGTCTAAACCTGCCAAAAAGTATGACAACAATGTAATTCCAAGACCAACTGGTATGCAACCGACATCAAACGTTTCACACATTCAAAATGATGCCGCTCTAGAAATAGAGGAGGATATTGACCGCTTGTCTAGCAGATCTAAATCAGTAAGCAGTTTCTGTATTTTTTCTTTATATATAAGTTGTTACGTATTGATATGGTTTTCTACATTCAAAAGTGTTAACGTTACCATACATTTGTGGTTTTAGGATCAGTAATTATTTTTATTATTATTGATGCTGTTCTATTCCTAGCTTAATTTCTATATTTATATCATGTATTATGTATGCATCAAATTATTATTAGTTATTGATATCAATTCCAAACTAATCGGTTGATAAAAGTAATGATTGAAATTATTTTACGAGAATATTTGAAACATGGGTATACATGTTTTGTCAATTGTAGGTATTCCTAGAAGAACAAAAGGCAGCAGAACTTGATAATGTAGACACATACTACAATGTGGCAGCTGTTATAAAGAGGAAAATAACTATTGATAAACTACCGGAATTTGTTGCCAAGAAGACAAAAAAAGATTTTGTTGATGAGTTCCAGGTACTTATGCATTAGCCATTATAAGTAATCTTTGATAAATTTCAATTTATAGATAGTCTGTATATTAGATATGCCTGATAAAAGATATAGATATATAATGATATATGATCGTAGTAAAATGTTGGCAGTGTTTGCTGTATTGTGTTTTTCAGTCTTTACCAGCCATGTTGATCAAGCCATATGTTGACTCCCAGAAAAGGGAAAACCGCTCTAAAAATCGCTACAAAGGGATTTATCCATGTGAGTTTTTCCCCTTGTAAATTATAACATTAGATCTTTATCAATATAGTTATTTTTTCTGTCTTTTGGTGCTGCTTGGATCATCAAGTACTTTTGGTTACTGAGGAATCACTTTTTCAAAATGCAATTTGTTATTTTCTTTTTGGAAAAGGAAAAAATAATACATTATACGTGTTAAAAGTCAAGAAAGATTTGGGTAAATATTCTTTTTGGTAGTCGTTTCCTTCTTGAAGCTATTTGTTAACATTTGTAGTAACGTTACAAAATGTATGTTATTTGCTAAGTATTAAAGTTATATTATAGATCTTTATTTTAAATATGATATTGTTTTCAGATGATGATTCCCGTGTTGTTTTGAAAGAAGGTGACTCAGACTATATTAACGCCAGCTACATAGATGTAAGTTGATCAATGGTATTATGACTATGAACCAAAAGTGAATAAAACTAATATTCTTATTGGAGCTTATTTTCACCTTATCTCTAACGAATATATAGATAAAAGAGAAGCATCGATGTTCTCGAAAATGCTCAGCTTCAACTGAGTGAACAACACACATTTAAAATGAATAGAATTAAATATTTCATATTGCATTAATGTTATTATATTTTTACAGGGATACAACAAGAATAAAGCGTACATTGCTTCGATTGGTACGTTATTTTATTTATCTACAAACTCTACGGTTGACTTTGTTCACTTAATATGTGTAGTTATATTTCCGGGTTATTCACATATTTATTCTGATAAGAAATAAAGTGTCTGTATTCTGTTGAGTATAGTATTTTAGAGTAACAAATATATTTGTACTGAGTTGCAACTTTAACTGTGCTTTATACACAACTGTTTTAGGTAAACTATTGTGAGAAGTTGCCAAGTCTAACCATGGATAACATATTTCTTCTAAGATATTTATCATCATGAGCATACATGCCATAAGTGTTCTTTGTATTATCATTACAATTTCTTGAATTTTAATTGATGGTCATGGATATTCTAACTTAATAGATTCATCCTGTTTCAAGTGTTCAAATTAGTTTAGTATACGTGTCGTAAATGTCTCGTATATCCCTGTATAGAGTGGCAATGTTTGACAGATATGTAGACTGATATACTGTGATATTTTATGTTATTGTTTATGACAATACATTTTTTAAATATCGCAAGTGAATACTGAAGAGTTATAACTGAATCATTGTTGATAGTTCTGTTATCGTCATTGAAGTAAAGCCTATTTCATATACAACATTTTAAAAATATGTCTAAATAGATAATTGTACACAATAGGTCCGACCTTTAAATACATGGGCGATATGTCAGCGTTTTGGATAATGGTTTGGCAGGAACATGTCGGAAAAATTGTTATGTTGACAAACCTTGAGGAAGGCGGAGTGAGTTCTCGAGTTTTGACCTCTTATCAAGTTTATTAAAATTACTTTGTCTAGTTTTATAAAATAAGTTTCTATTGTGAAATACGTATTAATATGTAATGCATTTCTCTCAAAACGATTATCAAATTTATTTGATAGATAATTGAATAAATGAAAAGAAAGTTTTGCAAGATTAAAAAAAAATCAATTTCAGATAAAATCATCTTTACATGATTGAAAGTATACAATGATTTAAATATTGATTTGATTATAATCACAATTTTCTCCTTTTAGGTACCAAAATGTGATCAGTATTGGCCGGAGAAAGATTTCAGTCTCATGTTTGCTAACATACAAGTCACGTGTCATACTGAAGAGAACTACGCCGACTATACTTTCAGATCATTTAGTGTTCAAAAGGTAAATCTCAATAACACAATACACCGACAATGAAATGTAGTCCTCTATAGAATAATTCGATTGAAAGACCCATTGTGCCCAGGAAACGTTATTATTATTTGCATTAGCATTTTACTTTTGGTGTTGCTGTTTTAGTCCCTATCAAATAACTCATTGGCCAAGTATCTGAACCATCTATTATGTTGCCTTTCTGATATTGATCTAGTTTAAGCTAGACTATACCAAGTATATGGAGATCTATCCTACCCCGGTCACATGATGTAGAATTATTCATAATTCTAGCACACTTTTTGTTGAACTTTAAATTTATATTTAAAATGTTATTTTTAATATAACATCTTTATTTCTTACGGCATCTGTTAAAACCTTGTAATATTTGTTGCTTATTTTCACCCGAATCATGTATGACAAGATTCATAACACTAGCATGAATATTTCCAGAGCTATCCCCCCTTGAATTTCTTTTTATATAAAATATTGGTTTTAAGTTTTAAGTCAAGTCCCATATAATATTAAATGCATGTAATAAGTGTCAATTTTCATAACTTTTATATCAATATTTTCCGAATTATCTTTTTTGTAACTTCTTTATATCTTCAGGGGTTTACTAAAAACACATGTTTTATATAGAACTAATGGACTTTACAAAACAATTCTGTGGTCTATTATCTTAATTATATTCTATTATTTTAAAATTATGTTGAAATTTCTAATATTCGTACAGCAAAACGTAAACAAAATAATTAATATTGCGTTCATAATGAAGTATGCTAAGTAGTTGTTGAAATATCTCAATATAATTTAACAATTCAAACATCAACTCTATAATTTTATGCTCACTTACACAGTAGTATTTATTGCTTGATTGTATATTACATTTGAAGACATTAACAATATTAACTGTACTACCTTCCTCAGGATTCTATCAAAAGAGAAATAGTTCAAGTTCATTTTACTGCTTGGCCTGACAAAGGAACGCCTGATGACGTCACGAGTTTGATAGAATTTAGACAGAAGGTTAACAGTACTAAGACTAAACTAGATGGCCCTATTTTTGTACACTGCAGGTAGTATACATATGAAGGCATATCATTATCTTTGGTTAACCATTGTTTATTACGTTTAGTGTGACTATATAAGGTTAATCTAATTATTTCAAATTTATCCATCCACTAACAGTATTCATTAGTCTTAATATTGTATTTGCGAACATTTCTACTGTCTATGTAATGTAAACGATCTGGTAAAACCACTCTATCTTCAAGTATTTTTGGGGAAAAAAAACACGATTATTATGTTTTTTTGTTTTCAGCGCCGGAATAGGTAGAACTGGTACGTACATTGCTTTAGATAGTATAACAAATGAGGGCGAGACCGAGGGAGCAGTAGATATATACGCATTTGTAAGGAATATGAGAGAACAGAGGGTAAACATGATACAAACAGCTGTAAGTTATCATTAGATTCATATCCTTTGTTAAGTGTTGGACTGAATTAACATTATGTTATTGATCATTTTCATAGAAAATAACATGCTTTTGTCTTTTGATAACAGTTTTATCAGGCGAGGCTGATATTTGCGTAAAAGGGCGAGGCTTGCTGAATAAATAAATGTTTCGTTTTAAATAGAAACTTAGAAAATGATATGAGATAAAATTGTAGAATTTAAAGGCTGTAAAAATAGATTATAAGCTATTGAGAAAGGTCTGTTAGAATATGTGAGGTTAGCCTCATATAGAAATAAGCAACAGGCAAAATCGGGCAGTTGCCATGCCAGATGCATGATGGCAAACGATAGAAGTAATATTTTATAATTGTGATATCAAGAATGTGCATAGATTTAAAATGGCCAGTAAATCGTTCTTAAACAATTGCAGGAACAATACCAGTACCTTCATAACGCCTTAGTTCACACTCTGACCTTTGACAGTAAAGCTGTTGAGGCCTCTGTGTTTAGTGACTATATGAAGACGCATACTGAAGCTCATCTTGGAAATATGTTTGAGGTATGTTTACTCCATTATTACAAATTTTACTTGTTTTCTTTGTGCACTTCCCTTCTTTTAAAGTCACAAAGTGTAAGCCCAATATGTTTCAATGAACCCCTTTTCGAAAACAGTTGAACATTTCAAATCAGGCAATTTTCTACCATCATATATACCGTTCTAGTCATGTGAATCACAAGCAAATAGATATTGAATAAAATGGTGAATGTAAATAAACATAAGCAGCAGCTATTACAAAAGAATGATAAAAACACTTGATGAAATAAGGTTTTAATAAATAAGTGTGATTTCCTTTCAAAAGATCTTTTTTCCTCAAAGTTGTTGTTATGCCGACTCTAATTATTCGCTGGTTATTCTTTCTTATATTATTAACGCTGTGCTGTATCAATACATAAGCCTTTAGGATTTTTCTTATTTCTAATGCCAAGTTAAAAAGACATGCCTTTGTGCTAGTAAAATATGTGTACCAAGCATGTTTTAACTTTTTTTATAATAGCTTTTAAATACTTAAAAACAATGCATGCAATCATGTTATCCTTAAAAAAAACCATAACATTACATTAAAAATTAAAACTCACATATTAATAATCTTTTGAATCAATGTCACGGAGGTGTCGATGGTTTGTCGCCATCGCTCCATGAACACATCTGTGATGGAACCAAATCTGGATTACACCGTTTTAGTTTGTGAATTATTAACGCATGATATTGACCTGCTAATGTATGATTATAAACTCTACTAAAATTATGTTATGTTGATTTGTATTATTAGCAATGTGTAATATAAGCAATCATTTTGTCTCTTAATTGATATAGAAGCTTCAAGCGTCTGTTGAACAAAGATCTGATGATGAACAGGAAGCTGTTAAACGAAACAAGGCTTTAGTAAATAAGAACAGAAACGGTGCTGATATCCCAGGTAAGGCAGCAGGAATATGACTTTTGTTTTTTATTATGTATTACAGTACATTTGATATAATGTTTATTTATAAGTTATCAGTACGATGCTAATATTGACCTAAGGAACATTTTAAAAGTGTACTTACATGTACTTTTATGTTGTAGGAGATCGTAACAGACCTCGGCTATTCATGGCTAAAACTCTAGGTCAATCAGATTACAGTAATGCAGTGTACGTAAATGTAAGTAATTTGTGTGTTTAATTTTATAAGTAATATTTAGTCATTAAAACATGTAATAGAGATAAGAGATAAAAGCGAACATTCAGGAAAAATCTTTTTCTGTTGCAATTAAATTATCTGGAATTTGACACAGTAAATTTTACAAGGATAGGATTTATCGAGCTGTGGAAGCGTCGTAAGTAAAATATGTGGACATTTTCAAACACGGTAAAACTTGGTTTGAGTATATATCATATTGGATGAGACAAAAAACCCTGTTAACACATGTCAGGAAATGAATCAGTTTTGGAAGCATCTTTTTACGCTCTCTATTTATTTGATAAACGATGTTTAATCTGTCTTTAAGCTACTTGTACTCAATTGCCTTTACAGAGCTTCAAAAACGTGAATCGTTTCTTGATAGCACAAACTCCTTTACCAGACACGGTTGAGGACTTTCTTACATTAATTGTTCAAGAAAAGGTTTCATGCGTCATCGGTATGGAAACAACGTTGTCAGGAAATAAGGTAAACTTTATATAAATTTTCCTACTCTTATGCTTAATAAGTAATTGTTATTGTAAAGTTTGAAGTTCTTTTCAGTATAGATGTGAAATGTGTGTGCATTTCAATCAAAATCACACCAAAGCACTTGAATAGAAAATATAGTGTTTGTTATGTACACTAAAGCGATTGGCACATAATGTTAAATCAGCTCTAAAACTATTGAAAAAACAACAACAACAACAAAAAGAGAAAAAAAAACAGTTTAAACGTTTTAGTGACGATTTATTCTGATTTTCTGTTATAACTTATACAAGTTAATAACCTAATCTATTGCTTTGTTCATAGGGATACGAAAGCATCGCGATCATTTTTTGATATCTCTATGAAAATGGATATTACATTTTTGAACATCTCTCGTAATGTTGCACTTCATATATATAACTTTGTATAAATCCCGTTAATTTGATTCAGGACGTTGGAATTTACTGCCCTGTGGATAACCAAACGTTAAGAAAAGGGGCCTTTACGATAAAAACTGAACGAGGAGATGGGACAGACCAATATCAGTTAAAGAAAATGAAAATATCATATAAAAGCAAAGTATGTAGCTTTTCAAAAAAATCTAATTTTCCATATATGGTCATTCTGGGTTGATCATCTTTTTTTTAAATAGAAAAATGTTATAAACTGTATGAATAATTCATGAATACTTCATATTAATATAGGATTTTTTTTCTTTTTGAATAGTTTTAAAATACGTGTATTTTGCGACTATATTTGCTGATAACCACGTCATATCTTACTTTGCACTGGACGTTTGGCTTCATTAATGTTTCTTTATATAATAACAATACTTAGTCTGGATCAGAAGAGCTTATAGTTCCACATGTTCAGTACATACAATGGGATAACAACAAGAGCATTCCTGAAGAGCCCGTCAAGTTTGTACAGTTTGTTAAAGATATGGAACTAAAATTTAGCGGAACTGACACAAACCGACCGATGCTGATCCATTGCTTGTAAGTTGACCTAAGTGAGAAAACTTGCTTTCAAAAAGTAAACTGTCAATCGTTGAATAGAAATTGGAAAAATAACATGACATGACTTTTCTCAGTTGGGATTGTTTAGCCATGTACATAATACTTCGTCAAACGACAGAACACTTTGTTGTTCAATATTTACACTCACAAAATTGTTCATACTTTAAAAGACACATTTTGATTTAACCGATGCTAGGGGCTGTAGACGGTAGCTTGTATTTACGTGTATGACGCTAAATATGTCCAATCAAACTTGACCTGCAGCATTTTAGCTCAACATTTTTAGTCGGCGTTACTTAACCTTTCGTTAAGATCAATTTTTCTCGGAAATTGTAAAGGCTTTTAATTCCAAACTAGATAAAACGCAAGCCAATTCTTTTTTTTTTTGTGTGTGTGCAAAGTTATGCGAATTTTTTCAAGTAAGACCCTTACCCCTGGTGGCCCTTGTTTACCTTTTCACAGAGTTATGCACCCTTTTCTATGTTTTTTTTATGTTACTATCCAGCACTCAGAAAAGTGGTTTGCGCTGTCAGCGGACAATTATTGATTAATTATTTGGTGTTTCGCATTGTTTTAAATTTCATCTTGTCCGTTTTACAAATTTTGATGATATCAAAATTCATAAAATTCTAAAAAAAGATATTTAATTTGTTTATATATTTATCATAATATTAAAATATGTCATTGACAATAAAATATATAGTGTAAATAATAAATATAATTTTTGTTTGTGTCCGTAAAATAATTAGTAAAATTTATTCAAATGTTTTATTTAACCTGTCAGTGTGAAATTGTAACACTTTATTTTATTCATCACGTGTTGCAGAACTGGAGCCAAAAAAGGGGGATTATTTTGTGTTGTATCAACTTTGTTGGAGAAAACACAAATTGACCAGGAAGTGAGTGTCGCAAACACCGTACGACAAGTAAAATATAGAAGACATGTGGCTATACCAGATAAAGTAAGTCGGAGACAAATTGATAATACCATCTTATCGCGCTAATCCTCTCTTAGTATCAATCATAATTGAGTCATTTAAAAGATGTTATTTTACTAGAGAATTCATTTTATTGGACCCGTACATTAGTAAATATCATAATACAAAAGATTTATAATACGGATTGTTTAGAACAAAAAAAAAACTAGTTTAATAAATCGATATTGATCTCTCGAAGTGTACGTATATCTAAACACTTCCTTCAGTTTTAAAATAATGTGTATAAAATTTGCTTCCTTTGAAATATTTGTCACTTGTAAAATATTTGATTTTCAGGTCAGTACATTTCTGTATTCGTTGCTATGCATTCATTTTAAACGATCAGTACATTTTATGTCATTCATGTAAACCTACCTACTTTTGTTTTCAGTGCCAGTATATCTATTGTCGTTACTGTTAACTTTGATTTTCGCAGGACCAGAATATTGTCCTCATTGTAAACCATTCTGTTTTTGTGTCGCCTGCTACAGAGTAGCGTCAAGTCTGTCTGTCCATCTAACCGTCCGTCCGTCACAATTTAACCAAAACTTTACAGAAATATGGTACCAAATCTAGTTGTGCATATCATCGGCATTGTCCGGTTGAATGATTTTGTCAGAGTTATAGCCTTTTCAATGATTTGATATTTAAGGTTACTTTTAAACTTTACAAGATTGATTGTAGCTAAAATACTTGCTCAGTTATGCCCCTTGAATAAAAAATTTGTTTTAGCCTGTCAATTATTTTAATGTTACAAGCTACGCAGAAGCTAATTCATGTTACAAAGTAGCCACAACTTATAGGAATCACTTTTGTAGTCTGTCAGTCCATTTGTCCTTTCGTACATCCGTCTATCTGTCCGTCACAAATGTTGTCATGACTAATCCTCAAAACTTCTGGTGCAATGTCATCCAAACGATACAGGACTGATCAGAACCAACTCTAGTTGTGCATATCATCGTCATCGTTCAAAGATTTCTGTTAGAGTTATGTCCCTTTAATAAATTTTATTTCTAAAGTTTTGGCTACGTCTCTTATTCTACTATAATTTGCAACTTTAATGAATTTGTACAAAATTGATAGGTACCTAATTAATCGAGGTTTGCGGTTGAATGATTTTGGCTGATTTATTCCACTTGAATAATAATAGCGTTTTGCCCTATTAATGATTTTTTGTTTTCTGCTACATAGTAGCTGCAACATGCAATTAGATTTCATCAGGCGAAACATGTGGTCACTGATCTCTCTAATTGCAACCAGTACATTTTCTGTCATCACTGTAAACTATTTTATTTTGGGACCATTGCATTTTCAGTCACCATTATAAACCCATTCTTTTTTTAGGACCAGTACATGTTATTATTGTATACTACCTATTTTCAAGGGAAGTTTAGCTTTTTTTATCATTGTATACACTATTCTGTTATTAGGGTCATTACTTTTTCTGTTATCATTGTAAACCATTTTATTTTTTTAGGACCAGTACAATTTTGTCATTATTGTAAATCATTTTTTTATTTAGGACCAATACATTTCTGCCAACATTGTATACCGTTCTGTTGTCAGGACCGGTGCAGTTTCTGTCATCATTGTAAACCATTCTATGTTAGGACCATTTCATTTTCTGTCTTCATAGTCAACCATTCTTTTTTCAGGACCAGTACATTTTTATCCTCATTATAATTAAACAATTATTTTTCTCTCATCGTTGTCAACCATTCTATTTCCAGGAACAGTACATTTTTTGCCATCATTGTGTCAACGAGTATTTACGAACATTCGATATCTACTCAAACTTTGAACTGAAGACATAGATATTCAAAGACAGTTTTTCTTGACGACAAAATCAAACATGTATTTTTTTGTAAATAGGTGTTTGTTATTGATGTTGAAGTTTATTTTTATATCACCTGCTTCATTTACCTACATTTTATCAGAGTTCTTTACCCTTTATATTTTTTTTTCCGTTTGATCAAATTTTAACACTTGTTGAAGACTATAAGAACCTACCTATTACCAGCTAATGATCAGTACAACCTCTACAGAGGAATACCTTTTGGTAGACAAATGTATTGCATATTACCGAGAGGTGTTACCCAAGGAAAAGCCATACACTTTGAAAAGTTCTACTTTCAAAGAATATTTCGTCACCTTAGTGCAATAACCGATAAACTGCTACTGAATTTAGAAGGACTTGTTTCGTCATTGCACTAAGGCGTCGATATACTGGTGTTTTAAAGTGGTCACTACTTTAAAAAGGACAGTCCTGTTGAGGTTTGTGCTAAGAGGCGGAAAGGAATATCTTATCATTTAAACAGCTCAGGCAGGGAACATGCACGCTATTTGCCTTGTCGTTTTGGATGGAAAGGACGTTTTAACTTTTGACTCTTTAATGTCACCATTTTGTACATGCTGCCCTGTTATAATAAACGAATGACGAAATACGCGATATTCACATATACAAATATACAGTGACATAGAAGGTTCTATACAGAAGGGTACCACATTATTTCAACATTTCGAGGATCCAAAGAGCCAAAATTTGTAGGAGGCGAAAAACTCTGACTGAAAAAAGTTATATTCAAGAAACACACACTTGTTATATAATAATTTGTTGTTGTTTCATTGGTTTGATAATACTGAATGTTTTATTTGACATTTTCCCTTTTTATTGAATATTTTATTACATGTCGAATTGATAAATAATGTGGAAGAAAACGAAAACATACGTATCTCGTATGTTTCTACATATCTTGTTTTCAAAATATACAATACATTATTGATATTCCTAGAGAGTTGAAACATTTATATTTCGGTTAAACAATAAAAACTAACTAATAGTATTTATTATAAGCATATTTTGTTTTTAAACAATAGATTTATATTAACATATGCAACAACAATGAAATTCATTTCTTTAAGATATAACATATTAGTGAAAAGCTGCAACAAAAAATGTATATAGTTCTTTGGAAATTTTGTTAACTTTTTTTACCTAGGCATAGAAAGAATCTCATAGAATTTTCTTAAACGGTGTTTGGTTAAGTTGAAGTAAATTGATTTAAAAAAAATGAAGTAGGATGGTTACCCCCTAACCTTTTTCAATGTGTTTAACTCATTACTGTCTTGACTCATGCGAATTTGCAGGAAATACTCCGTGATAATTTATTTTTTCTTTCTTGGCTTTTCCAATTAAGAGCCTTATACATACGAAATGTTTAGCATTTCCATGTAAAAGTGACTTACTTAAATACGCTTATAGATTCTGTTAAATTTGATTATGCAGGTATTTACTTCATTAAATATATGTATATTGAAATACACTTTTAACATAATTTTCAAGATATTTTATTTTATACCAAGCGTTACTGTACTAATTAAAGTTTACATTTTATAAACAGGATCTTTTTTCTTCAAAAATGTGAACGTGATTGGCACTAATGTATACTAAGTTTTGTTACAATGCATGCAGTCATTTTGAATAATATTTGCATTAATTCATTGGGGATGGGGGTGAAGCTAATATGGATCTTAAAATTGAGCATCGGCAGTAAAATATTTGAATTTCCGCTGGCTGGTCCAGATGTGCACTATAGCACCATATGTGACATAGAAAGAAGGCCAATATAGGAAAAGTTTGATTCATATAAAACTATTTTTTTAAGAAAATCGAAACGTGATTTCTATTGTCCTGGCTAATCCAAATATTTACCCATTTCGTACCAGGTTTCAATGCATTCTTCGTCGATAAATTCTTGTGGGTTATGGTGTGTCCAAAAAAATGCAATGCGTATTAAGAAAATATGTCGCTAAACGGACTCAAAATACAGAGATTTTACAAAATTCGACCACAAACGATGCCCTGTGAATGACCAACTTTCTTTTTCATATATGGTGTTGTACTGCACATCTGGTTAAGCGGAACAATTTTCACAACATGTTTTACCATGTTCAATTTTTAGATGCATATAGACCAAGCTCCGCCATCCTTTCCCCATCCGGTATAATGACATATCATTTTACTTAATATTTGACATAATACATGTATTGGGAGTGAAGCCATGACAATTCACAGATTTAAGTGCTTTAACCATCGTGAATGCTATTTAAACGATTAAAATAACTTAAAATGTGCTTTTTATATAAATTATAAGAAATCATTTTCAAATTGTTTCGAATCGAGTTATTACACTTATTTTGAAATCGTCAAAAAGTTAGATTTAGCTATGCTTTTACATATTTTCTTATTATTTATACCATGTATTTTATATAGTTTACATTTTCAAAGGTCCATTATGTCCCAGAAATGCCTTTTTTAAATTTCTTAAAACCATTTAAGTTTCGGTTTACTGTTACAGTTTCCAAAAAAAGAAAGTAATTTACCAATTATCTGAGCCATCTTATTCTTCTGTTGCACATTGACAAATAGTACAATTATTATAGTGATTTCGTATTTTGTATGGAAGTCAAAATACTACTTTGTTTAAATTTTGTTTCTTTTTGGACAAATTATGTCACATTAAGAGCTACACTTTTAGGAAAAGAAATTCACATGCTCTAATATCATGATGTAAATGTTATTGTCCGCGCCCAAGGACCCGGCTCTGATCAATTAATCTCTTCGATTTACAGTTTGAAAATAAACTCGTAACCAGAACTGTATGCCGATCTAAAATTGGACTGCAAAACGGAAAACTCATTCATAGTCTCCTTTCGCCATATAAGTGTATTCGATTTGGCTCCCTTTATTATCTCATAATATACCATTTGCAGCGGAACACATTTTGAAAAATAAACTAATGTTTGCGTTTCTAAGGGAGTAAGAATTTGTTCGTTTCTGAGGCATAATGGGCCTTCAAACTGCACCTTTTGTATACATATGTTTGTTAAGTATACATTCGTAATTTTATGCTTTTGGGTGGATTACTGATTTATCCGACAAAATTTTATATTTGATCATTTTATTTGACAGCGCCAAATATAAAATTAAAGACACTTTGTAAAATAATTGATAAATATCAAAGGTCTGTTTTCATTTCATGCCTTTCAGTGTACAGTAAAATTTTATTTTTGATAAGTTAACAGTGAAATTAAAAAAATATATATATAATTTTCTCAGTTTACTGACAAAATGTGAATGTGTATGAAAGAATGAGTGGAATATATTAGTGAAAATATCGTCAGAAATAGACTCCGCCGTGAGTGAAATGTACACCTTGAAATAAGTTAAGCACATCCGGCATTTTGCCTCAATTTTGTTATGCCAACAACTGAAATTTTAAATTTTATTTGGGCAATGGTACAAACCACCTGCAACAACTGGAACAAGCTCTGAACCAAAAATGACAACTTTTACCCAAAAATTGCATAAGAAGCCTTACTTGTAGTATGTGGAGAAGGATTGAAGCTATCATCTTGGTACATAGCGGTTACACACGTTATTGAAAATTGACTACATAATGTCATTTAAGGTTACGTAATCGTCAATATTTACCAACAATATCTACCAGTTAAGGTTTTATAAGTGCTCCGACACCATACCAATGAACGAAACTCATACATTTACTGGTTTATGTTTACTTAATTAGTACCGCTAGTTATCAAATTACTATTTCTTAGCTCAATTTAGTCAACATCTCATGACAGTGCTTTTTATCACATCTAATTTTAAATTTCCAATACTGCTTAACTTATTTCCTGGTGTATTGTCATGCCTTGTCAGGGGAAATTACATTAATTTCTGCAAATATCATTTTAATAATATTTCAAAATTCGTAGAATTTTACAGATTTTTTTTTCAACTAAACAATGTGACGTCATGACTTGATAATGTCAATATTAAGAATCAGTAAAACACCTAAACCAATATGAAATTAGTAGAAAGACTATCTTATTTGTATGTTAGATCAAAATATATTTCACTCGTGAATACCAGCCCTTATACTGTCAATCGTGACTACGCCAATCGTAAACGTATTACATCTGATACTTTTTGACATGCAAAACAAACACATATCATCTATATAATGTTTCATTATCAATAGTGCTTTAATTTATAAATGTTCATAATTCAACATTTTGTTTACCAGTGTCTTTTTACAACCATGTAAGCCCAAAATTCATTTGATAATTTGGTTAAGTATTTGTAACAGTCAAAGGTTTCTGAAAACTTACTATATTATATATCACAAAATCAACTGTTACAGTAGAATATCAAATAAGATATACGATAACTAACCGATCTAAAATATAATAAGTGTATTTTTATTTATTCTTTACGTATAAGCTCAGTTTGTTTGTTAATTACACCATTTCATCTTGTATGAATAAAATATAAACACTTAAAAATCTTTTTGTTTTCTTTAACGGGTTGGCTTGTAGCTTAGTAATCATCTTGATATGTGCTACTAAAATGTATATTGAAATTTATGGAAATTTATATTGAAGTTCATTATTTTTCGTGATCTTGAAAGTCCGTGTTAATATACTGCTTGTGTCTACAATCATGGAACATTATTGTAATCTGAGGGATGAGTCAGAATACAACGGAATGTGTTAATAAATTATATTATTTTCAAGTTATCCCCTTAAATTTATATCTTTGTAAATTATAGTATTTCATCTACTTATTAATCATTTAAATCATGAAATACCATTTATTGTTGTCCAGCCCGCCTTAAATAATCATCTTAACGCCACAATTGCGCAGCTCATGGATTGCGACGTAAGTTTAAATTTTATACAAAACCAAAGTGCTTTATAAAAGCATAGACCTTGTCAAAGATCAACGGACTTGTTTTACTTTCCGGCTCTTTTGTTAAAAGTGGTATAGTATCATTTAATTGCCGCTTAACACGTCTACAAATAAATACCGGCCTGTTATTGATCAGTTACTATGAAAAAATGACAGGATGTTGTATTGTCTCGCACATGCGCAATTTGTGGAGGGCAAAAGATCATCGCTTTAAATAGAAATGTTGTAGAAGTTCACAGACAATTCTGAGTTAGCTTAAGGTTAAAAGTGTAAGGAACTCTATATGAAATAGCTTTACTGAAAAGCAGAAATTGCCTTTATAGCTTGCTAAAAATAACATGGAAACGATGATATTTTAAAGAATTATTGCATTTGCGACCAGGTCAGACTTGAAAATCATTGAAATATAAAGCAATCGTTACATATAGGTCCGATGTCGGCCCCTTATCATCTGCAAAGTCGGTCCGATATCAGCAGTCAATGTCGGCCCGACGTCATATGTGCAACCAGGCTCAAAGTCAGGCCGACATCGGATGGCGTTATTGATTTACCGACTTACAGACTATGTCATAAATTCATTCGTAATACCAGTATATATGTTTGCTTTCCTTTGCATAGGGAGCTTTAACATACAACAGAACATATATTAATTTTGCAAATTCTTTTATAACATATGCAGTACTTACTATACAACTTACAAATACTGTCTTGATCTATATATGAAATATATATTGTCATATCACAGATAGATGATTTACCTGCAATGAATCAGTCAGTTTCAAACATCATACTTGAAAGAAAATAATATATTCACATTTTAATTACTAAAGGGCAAGGTTAAGAACAATGTCCTTTCAAAAGGCAAACAGCATCTATCCATTTAGTTCACATTGTAACTTTTCGAAATTTCTTTTTTTTTGATTTATGTTATCTTTTTTGTCATAAGTAGCTCTTTCTACATTTTTTTAAAATATA